TGTAGAAGAAGCACATCCATGATTTCTAACATGAAGTCTGCAAATGTGGAAAGTAGAATTGATGAAGGCTTATGTGTTGTAAAATGTATTATAAGTCACCTGCAAAGAATTACGATATTTCGTTTGGAAAAGTAGATGAGTGAAAGTCTAAATTAGGCAGAGTGCATGTAGTAGATTAATGTCCAAAAATATTTTGAATTTATGTTAATACAAACGATTAACAACTAGATATACAGATAGAAGTTTGGGTTAGGAATAACTGGGGTGGAAAAGTGCTTTGTGACTTGCGGATGGTACTTATGCATTTCTTTGGATTTTAATAACAAGAGCTTGGCAGTATCATTGTTAATGTGCACTGGTTACAGAAGAGACAACATAATTCAATAAAGTCATCCTGCTCTATCGAAACTATGACTGACCACCGCTTTGCAGATTCCTACCTCGAAAATCCGCCATATGGTTATCGAATATATAGAGCTATACGAGGTTTGCTATAGGATAGTCAGTTTATCAGCGAAAAAATAGGCTTGATCAGTGTGGGGGGTTTAGAAGTAACGTTTTACTATCAAGTTAAACAGATAATTCCTCATGGATCCTATTCGTGGTTTTCTCGATAGTACCTGACCAACACATTGAATGATAATTCGGAATGCAATATTTTTGAATGTTTATGTAACTACACCAGTTGGTGCATATAGTATTAACAAACTGACGACGCAAGTAATTGTATAAACAAGGAAAGCGACAAGTGGGAATGTTACATCGTATTTCTCTAATACGCGTAAATGGTATTCAACCATCCATTTTTTATGTTGTCCTACCCACGCTGAACTTTTGATGTGCTGAAACTTTTTCCGTCTGAAAACCGTGTGGCCATGCCCTGCTCTATACTACATACAAGTTAATTTATGAGCAGTGTCCACTAAAATAGTATTAGTTTGTTAATACCAGATCTCTAGCGAGCTATTAATATCTTTGACACCAGCTGTCGAATCGGAGTAAAACCTACTCGGGTACTATTATTGTGTTTAAATCACAATACTCCAGATATGTATTACAATGCGATCGGTCCAGAATTTCGTGGGATTACTTTGAAGTGTCCAGAGTTATAATTATTTAACAGATTTTCAATATTTATGTCTAAAGGAATAAGACTAGCAGACACAAGTATATTTACCAGGGTGTTCGAATGAACACCTAAGTTAACCTGCCGACTTAACCTTCATATGTCTGATCTGGGCATGTAATTATGTGATTTCACGGTATTCATGCCGTTCCCCAGCTTTTCTAGAGTCAGGATACTGGTCGAAACTAATACACACTCATTTTACTCACTTGGATCTAAAATGACTGCTTTTGGTTGTCTATATCGATAGTGTATTTGAAAGACAAGATGTGTTATGAACTGATTGATCAAAATGAGAGCAGTAAGTCTTTAGTACTTCCCAATCTCGCAAATTTGGGAAATCTCCAAAGTCAAATGACCTACACCATAGTTGTAGGAAAATTTTGGGGTTTTGTAGCAATTTCCACAAAAGACTCGATATACGGCATATCGATTGACTGTTAAATTCAACAGGCACAGAGGCATAGTGCAACGCATGTATAGGCCAGGTTAACATGCTGGTTTGTGATGAATGAAACGATTTAAAAACAATATGCTTGGCCAAAACATTTCAAGTTGAGATAACTTGTGGAACTACAGTTAGTAACATGACGAGTTGCGATATATACCTTTCATAAAAAGTTAGTGTAGTTAGCTTATCAACTTTTATAAATGTGTGGCGAAGATAATCGGAACAAAGAAATGTTAAATAATTTTTATCTAATATGATTCGTCTGTAAACATCATGCTTTTTCATAGTAGTATGTTGTAGCGTAAAGCTATTAAATATACCTTATGCCAAGAACAGTTTTGGAGCGGTTCGTATGAAATATGTACGGCTAGTCTAAGTGAAAACATACATTTGATGTATAAAAAAAGGAAATCATCCAGCAAAATTGTTGAACTCGCCTAGATTATTTTCGGAACTAGATCGCCCAATGGTGTTGACGCATATAAGACCAGTTGTGAAAATTAGTAATGATCCAGATGCAACCAGATTGAACACGTAGTATTCCAACCAATGCATGAAGCTATTGACTCCGTCACTTGGTTGATTCAGTGAAGATCCATGAGCCCAGATAAATACTAGGATTTCAACGTGTTGTATAAACCACGCTTGTACTCCTTTGGTATTCTTTCGATACCAGGAGATCGCCAACAAATACATCTCAACTACAGCCATCATCTGCTTTCTGATATTGGCCTACGGGGATCTTATTGGTTAATTGACACATAGTCTTCTTGTAGTGGTGTTCATAGTCAATAGCGGCTCGACACCACGCTACAGTGTAAACAATCGTAGGTTTCTAGAGTATTGTCTTTGTTATACTGCAACGGAACTGGAAAACTGGAAATCAGCCATGCAGTGTTCGGAATAAAAGGTATTTCAGGATACTCCGTAGTTCAAAATAGTGAAACATTAGGCGAAGAAACAATATGGAGAATCAGATCCAGATAATCATTCAGGATTTGCTCAAGTTGCTAGTTAATGTCTATTTACGTCATTCAAAGGCCATATTACCTAGAGCTTGGTGTCTTAACAAGCTTTTTTCGCTGAAGTAATTAAATGCTATTAAAGCTTGTTAATAAACCACAGTAGACAACAATTAATATAGATGACCAGTTATTAGTATCGATTGAGTTAATAGGTTATGAGTACTAGTCAACATTACAACACGATATTACACGTGAGTGTTATTCAGAGAACTTTTAAGATAATGGGTTAATATAAGTAAAAAATCGATCGAGAAACTTGGCAAAAATGAGGATTAATAATAGGTGTGTTTCCTTAGTAGTTCTTATCAATGTAGAATTATGGTCTACTTCGTTATTAGTACTATTGTAATAATAGACCTAATCCTGAAATTGTAGATTTGTCATGATGTGACAACCTAATCTATAAGCTCTTACTTGGAAATTACATCAATGTCTGCACTGACTCGTCCTATCGTAGGAATCACCAAGGTGATGTGGTCTGCTTTTAGACAAAACATTCAGATTGGGGATAGAACAATATATTTAGTATGAATAAAAGTAGAAAGTTATACAGGATGATTACGTCTGTAAGGCTGATTCATGCATTGTCATCCAATTCAATTCTGTTGATTCTTCCCGTCGTCTCCATTGTTGACCTCCTCTTTATATTAATTGTTGAATAGGCAATTACCCAGATATCCCATGTTGAGCTTTGAAGAATGTGTCCTTGGAACTCATGCCACTATCAGTATTCAGCTCTAAAGATAAGATGAGGTTTCTGATTCATGGTGAATATGACACAGATATTCGGAGTTTGACAACGCTTTAACCAGTAACACCTTACATGAATCGTACCCACCAAGTGAAGTCGAAAGACAGAAGCGAGGAGGTTCAAATATATATTTGATGGGCTATCAATATATCGAGAATCGTCTGATCTAATCTGGCTAGCGATTGAAAGGTTTGTTGTGCAGGGCGTTCCCACTCGTGATCTAGTGCGGATGCACGGCCGAGCGCCTTCAGCTAGATGGGTCCAACAAAACTAATGTGGTCAGCATCCAATGTCGAAAACTTTCAGAGCCATTAATTTCGGGGATTTATTTACCGCTACAATGGATTACCTAGTGAAATCCCTATTATCTGGTCTAGAAAAAAAATCTAGGTTTATCGTCATGCGTACTTACATGCCTTTTTCATTGTAGTGTTCTTAACCGATTACCGAATCCATTTTCTTGCAGTTTTTGTATAACACTGTTTCTGTCCTAATGTATCAATTACCTGCAGATAACACAAACAAAAGCGAGTTAAGTCAAAGCTCTCAGTTAGTATCCAAATCTTTCAATATTAATCGCTTGGTTCACTTCATACCTAAATAATCGACCTTTTAAAAAATCAGGGCTAACTTTTTTTTTCACGTTCCAGAATGTCCTCGTGTGGTCCGCAAAAGTTCAGTACTAAAACTTCTCCTCTTCTTTTTTTAAAAATTGCTTTCTTAAGCAAGTATCATACGAGTTATTACTCTTTGCTAATGACTAAACTTAGTGTGAATTTACCGACCAGATGATGAGCTGACACTTCAAGATGATCTGGTTTGACTTAAAGTTAGGTAGATAATAGGAGGATTACTCTCAGTGCTTCAGTTGTTAAGTAGTCCATCTGAGACCTGTTGTAGACTAAGCATACAACTTAAATAACGCCTCTCTAAAGGTATTCAAAGTCAAGGAAAGACCTAAAAGACTTAGAACTCTATGATCGAAAGTTTTACTGTAATTGTCAATTGTTAATTAATTCCCGCACATGTATCTTTGAAATGCATATTTGATAATTTTGACGGCAGGACGTTCCAGTTGACCCTTAATAATTTTACATGACCCTATTTACTGTGTGGAAGAAGTGTTTGCTCTTCACTCCGAAAGATAAGGGTGCACTGGTATATATCGAAAAGGTGAACTTCGAAATCAATTTGAGTACTGAAAATATAACACTGAGGAAAAGTCGCTGAACCATCACTTACTGGAGTATAGGTATTTCAATGATGATTTCCCTATGAATTATCGAATCTTTAGCGCTCTTGGTACCCCGTTAAGTGCATATTCAAGCTCAGTCTCAAAACAAGACTTAAGATCAATAAGCAGATATCAGAGGCACGACATAGTAGAATAAACTGTAGGAACACGTTTTACTGCTTTTAAGTAGTCGAATTCCGAAATTCTCAATTATATGTGGTAGTGAAGCGGCTTCTCAGGAGTCGTCAACATGAAGCTTATTCGTATGTACTTAGGACAATATTTCATCACAAATTACCAATATTACTTTTTCGATTGTTGAATATTCCTAGGTTACTTGCATGAAGTATCAGTGATCCATTACTACAAGATACGAAGATTGTTAAGCAAATATTTCATACTCATTTGGTCCACTAAGCGTGGAGCGCAACATTTGAGTTTTGAATAGTCGGGTTGATTTAAAAGTAGTCAGACATGTGGTCATCGAGCGGTAGATACTAATCTTTGTATTTTTGACCTTTCTAGATTATGGTGGTAGTATTGGGACTACAAGTGATTTCGGTGGAGGTTATATGGCGTCGATGGGTGCTGGTACAGGAATAAAGGTTCACATTTCTAATGATCAAATTTATGGAGTTATTTTTTTTAGAAGATTAGTTATCAGGGCACTATTGTTCCTTGTACGTGTGCCGAAATAATGGCCGCAAATCAAGATGGTGATAAGTTTGTTTCTCAATGTGGAATAGAATTTAGTCAAGTATGTTGAACAAGTTGATTGTAAATATTTTTCAGATATCAGTTGTTGGCATTATTCGTTCGGTAAATGAGTCAAGCACACGCGTAGAGTATGAGATCGACGACTATACCGGACCGTGCTTGCCAGTAAAACTTTTTACAGAGGATCAGGATAATACAACTTCCGGCCTACATTCTCGTCCATTTCGCGAATTATCATATGTACGAGTACATGGTCATGTCCGGAACTTTCAGGGAGTCAAACATGTTATTGCTTTCCGAGTATGATAAGTTTTGTTTTGCGTCTCTTAATCAGGAAGGGTTTTCTGTATTAGAAAGGATCCTTGGGTAGTGCTAATTTTTATTTCCACAGTGTAGATTTTTATGGAGACAGTTTCGACCAATGGGCTCTGGGTATATTTTATTCTGTCAAAATTTCTCTCTTCTTAAGTGCTGTTCATTGTGTGCTCTGACCAATGTATCTCTCAGCAAATGCCAAGTTTCGTTAGAACCCACGTGATTTTACATGTCAAATATAGCGAAACTACAAACATCAATAACGCTGCTTTTTTGGCAAGTTTGCTTTGAACGTATAACATCGGGCCATCCGAATACATGACCAGCATAAGATGGACAGCTGTCGTACAGGCTCATACTCGATCGTTTGACACTAGTTAGTAATAGAGTGTATGAAGCATCTACAGGGTTTGGAGTTAATGTGCTGCGTATTAACGATCCATCAAAGGTCGCTCTTATGTTTGTTTCAATTGTCCTACGGAACAAGTCAAACCATCTGTTATTGGTATCTAATTACGTATATTTCTATTGTGCTTTGGAATGTGACCTTAGTATTAGCTACTTGTGCATAATGTGAATTAAATACGCGTGTGAAATATAGTCTTGGATGATAGATTACCTTAACCTAGCATATTACGTAATCAACCAAGGTATTATACAGTATTTTTGTCCTAAAAATTCTATATCATCGATTATATTTTTGTTTACCTCAGCGTATTTAATGGATTTACTTCACTCATGAAGAACAAACCTTAAAGATTGACTTTAAGGCATACGATCGATATTAGAATTGTCCAATATACTACACGTGTGTTTCAAATAACGTAATTCATGACTTTAAAATATTTATGCAAGTAATGAAACTGTTAAACCCTAGAAGTTGGCTCTAAAACATTAATCGTAATGAGGGAAATATACGTTAATTATCATACTAAAACCAATCTTAATGGGTCTGCTTTTATGTAAGTGCAGACTTTTTAAACACATGGTAAGTTTAGATTTCGATACAGCTGAGGCCTCAATTGACTTAAATGTTCTCTGTGCGTCCACACAGCCTAGCGAAAAATGAGTTGACATCAGTCGTATGGCCTATTTCATTTGTTTCTGGTTATAAGTGGTTGAATGGTCCTCATATGTGTAATTCGAAATTACCACAGATCTAATAAAAAATTGTCTTTTCGTCTCACTGAATCTGTCATGGTGGATATCCTTCACGCCTTTAGGAAGGTCCACATCTAAGTCGTGTTGCTTGCATAAAACAGTGTACGTAGGTTGGGATTCAAACTTGCAATCTTTTGAATGAAGGCCAAGTACTTTAGCTAGTAAGCTGCCGCTACTTTCTTAGATTTTCGTTTCTACTATGTTGCATACAATTTATCAGGAGAAATATCTTTTTTTACAGGTTTAGCAACTCTTAAATATTAACAGCTGTATCAACATACACAAAGATTTTATTTACTTTAAGGTCATCCATTTGTCAGACATGAATGAGCTTACTACTCATATAATGGAAGTGATTTATACAAGAATGTTGTATGCGAAAATCAAACAAGATGAGAATAATAGCACTAACGTCAAAAGTATTTTCGGTGAGGTTGGTTCACATAATGCACCTGGATCTACTAGTAATGGACTGACTGTCTTGCAAAACCAGATACTCGCAATAGTTAGAGCGTTTGTTGGTGAGCGTGGAATCCCTGTATCCCAATTAACGGAAAAGCTGCGTGGGATACCGGAGAGGCAAATAAGGTATGTGCTAGTTTTTTGTGATAATAAGTCTCAGATTTTGACAGATGGTTTGCTTTTTATATTTAATTCACATGTTACTGGATAGAACAGGTCTTTGTTTTGCCTATGGTGTATTTATATACAATACTTTAGTATGCGTTGATAGACACTCCAAGCATTTGAATACGTTGATATAAGACTGCACTGTAACCCTTTAAAATCAGTAAGTTTCAATATAGTATAATGTAACTTTTCCTTGGATAGTAATGTATGTACATCACAAGGTCCGCGGGTGAATTTGTATTGCTGTGAATGTACAGAGGTGTGACGTCAGTAAGGTGTTTCCTTCAGACAACCAACATGTTAGCGATGCTGCCTTCCCACAAAGAAAGGGTTGGGTTAGAAATGATCGATCCTAAAAATGAACACCTACTTTATCCCACAGATATCCGTCTCTCGTGTTAAAGTCCCAACAAGTACGTAGCTAAGACGAAAATTACACTGCGGTCACGCACTCAGGTTACTAAGACCAACTCTATCCCAATTTCCTTTACTAGTGTCTCTAGAAGAACTCTTCCGCGGTATGGGCAATCGAAAAGTAATGATTGCTCTCATACCTCTAACAACACTGCATCCATAATCGGTCGCCCTCTTCAATTCTCATTATTCCTCCTACATCGACTTCCAATTCCAAACTTTCTCCTGAAGTGTCACCATGGTCAACGATTCTAATTCACAAAACTGTCCCAGGTCTACTGAAACATCTCTCCAAACTACACATTGGAGCCTTCAACGAATATACCCTATATCTAATCGGCCAGCAGGCCTACTCGGCTAAAAACCTAAAATCTCGTAGCATTGATATATGCTATCTCCAAAACACATACAAGATCCTAGTGTGGCTATTCACTTGACGTCATGTAGTCAAAACCGAGAGACGACGAGATACATCCTGGCGATTCGATGGCTAGTTTTCGAGGACTGGCAGGTCTAGACATAGCAGTAAGTACGAGAGCAGAACAAGCACTCTTAACAAAAATCTGGGAGTTGGATGTGATCACATCTGACTGGTCACAATCACTGATTGTCCCAATTTATAAGGAGTCAAAATCATCCTGTGATAACCGTAGAAGGATTAGTTTGACTAACATAGCATCTAAAGTACTAACATCAATAATTATCGGGCGGTTAACGTAGACTCGTGGACTGCAAACACAATAACATCAGGCTGGCTTCAGACCTGGTCGTGGCTGCATCGACCACATATTTACCGTTCGTTAGATTTTTGAACACAATTATGCTTATCGACGTCCGACAATGGCGGTTTTTCTTGACTTAGAAGCAGCATTTGACTCTAGACCGAGAGGTTCTGTGGCAGTGTCTGTCATTGAAAGATGTACCTCAGAAGTACATCAACCATGTGAAGGTTTCTTACTCGAACACTACTAGTTGAGTCAAAGCTTATGGCGAACTGCCATCAGATTTTGCAACCTCAAATGGTGTTCGTCAAGGCCATGCACTTTCTCCATTTTCTGTCGTTGTAGATCTACTGCTAGAAATAACGCTCTCGTCGACTGAGTTTTCAGGCATTGATCTATCAGGAGGTCCACTTAACGATTTAGAATCCGCAAATGACATAGTACTGTTTGATGAAGACGCTGTTAAAGTGCAGTCTTTTGGGATCACCGGGTAAGTAATAGTGAGGTTAGACGCAGGGTATTAGGGAATGAGGGTAAATCAGTTGATGAGGTTGTGCATCTTCATCGACTGAGATGGTCGGGCCACGTGCTGCGTATGTCTGAACACCGATTACCACGACGCTCAATGCTGACTAGTGTTGGGGAAGTCAGTAGCTTCTGGTCTGAGCCATGTTGGTAGATGCAGACTACTTGGTTGGGGTCCGCGTGACTATCGTAACAAATGGTTGGAGACTGGGTGACATGGCTCAGAATCGACCACAATGGTGTCGGTGTATACGCTGTTTGTCTCCCCTTAAACCAAGAGATTAAAATCGCTTCATATGTTTCTTTCTACATACTAAATGTTTCTTCCTGTACTATGTTCTTATATGCAATCTTTCTTTTATATATTACCACCACTAAATTAACTACATCTACGAATCCGGTGTTTATCTTGTTGTGCTAATGAGGTATAGGAACTTGGACTGATGCATATATGTGCCTGGTCCTACGTTGTAGCTGACTGACTGTCTATTACATAGTGCACAACACACATCGACCGGTCATCTCCATGCAACCTTATCCTGGGCTAACCTTGTTGTTGCCAAGTGGTACTCAAGGTCATAGCGCCTGCGTCCGATCCCCAGGACTATGTATTCTTTTGTCCATCCTCTTTCGTTTCAGCCTTTAGTATTTCGGGTTAGAATTCGCTTCGTGATACAGCTTGATGGTTTGTATAAAATTTGTTCTGTCCAAATCCAACGTCTTTCCCTAATTTTCTCTTCAACTGGAATCTGGTCTGTTCTCTGCCACAGTAGGTTATAGCTGGTGGCGTCTGGTCAATGGATTTAAAGTATCTTACCTAGATAGCTGTTTATAAATAACTGTGCTTCTTTGATGATGACAGTTGTAGTAGTCCTGCAAGTTTCAGCTCCAATATCTGGAGATGTTTTGACGTTTGTGCTGAAAATTCCGACTCTGATGTTGACTGACAGTTGTTTTGAGTTCCAGATACCCTCCTATTGTAATAATATAACCCTAGTCAAAGTGTTTACCCACCTGTTCTTCTGCTGTTGATCCTTAGTGATTGATTCTCCTTTTTTGTAGCTGACTAGTTGTTCTTGTGGACCATATTCTCCTACTATTCTCCTGATTATATTTTGTTTCTTCCGAAATCCCTTTGCTTGCAGTTTTTCTACAGTATTTGCCAGATCTGCATATTTCCACTTTTCAGCTGTGATGCCCTTCATTCTTTTGTTTGCTTTTGCGTATTTGGCATGTGTTTTTCTCTGCTCTTGTTCGAGCAGTGTTGACTGCCGTCTTCTTGTTTTTCCTTTCTTCAGTCGTGCGCAGAGCGTTTACAGGGATCCGTTCTTTGTGCTGGCTAACGGATTGGTACTCCATAAGTAGCCCCCAAACGCCCTGGTACAGCCGAGAGTGGGGAGAGTCCGCTCACCCTGTCGAAATGCTCTCACATGGCCACGCGTATATAGCCTCTGCCAGAGAAGCTCTGCTCACTGCCTTCTCGTGGCGGGGGTGTTGTTTACGAAATTAAGAGAACAAAGAGCGAATGTCCGGCGCTTTAATCGGTTCGGTGGACATGAAGAGTCCACTTAGGGGAGTTGGAAAACCCTGATTCCAAACCAATGGTGCACATAGGCTTCAGTATCCTGAGGGAACAAATGACGTATGAACAAATCATTGGTCACCGGCTACCATGGGACAGGATCAAAGAAAGAAAGAACAAGAAGACAGCAATTAGCAACAGTCGGACAAGAGCAGAGAAAGTCCAAGCACAAGCAGAGTACATAGAAGCAAACAAGAAAGTGAAGAAGAGCATTAGAGCTGATAAACAAAAATACGTGGAAGAACTAGCAACGACGGCGGAAAAAGCTGCAAGAGAAGGAAATATGAGACAGCTTTACGATACGACGAAGAAGCTTGCAGGGAAATACAGTAAACCAGAGAGACCAGTCAAAGACAAAGAAGGAAGACCAATCACTGAGATTCAACAACAGCGCAACAGATGGGCAGAGTACTTCGAGGAACTCCTGAACAGACCGGCTCCAATGAATCCACCGGACATCGAAGCAGCACACACAGATCGTCCTATAAATGTCAATCCACCAACGACAGAAGAAATCAGAATGGCTATCAGACAAATCAAGAGCGGGAAAGCAGCAGGACCTGACAATATACCAGCTGAAGCGTTGAAGTCAGACATCGAAGTAACTACAAGCATGCTTCATCTTCTATTCAAGAAGATTTGGGAGGAGGAACAAGTGCCGATGGATTGGAAAGAAGGACACCTCATCAAGATTCCAAAGAAAGGAGATCTGAGCAAGTGTGAAAACTACAGAGGCATTACACTACTGTCAATACCGGGTAAAGTCTTCAACAGAGTGTTACTGAACAGGATGAAAGACTCAGTTGACGCTCAACTTCGAGATCAACAAGCTGGATTCCGTAAGGACCGGTCGTGCACAGACCAGATTGCGACACTACGGATCATCGTCGAACAATCAATTGAGTGGAACTCGTCACTCTACATCAACTTCATTGATTATGAGAAGGCATTTGACAGTGTAGATAGGAGGACGTTATGGAAACTTCTTCGACACTACGGAGTTCCTGAGAAGATTGTCAACATTATCCGGAACTCATACGACGGACTACAGTGCAAAGTAGTGCATGGAGGACAGCTGACAGACGCATTCCAAGTAAGGACCGGAGTAAGACAAGGCTGTCTACTCTCTCCCTTCCTGTTTCTTGTGGTGGTCGACTGGATTATGAAGACCTCGACATCTGAGAGAAACTACGGCATACGATGGACAGCTCAGAACCAATTAGACGACTTGGACTTCGCAGATGACAAAAAATTCAATCTACGATGAACCATGCTTTTTTTATAACTAAACTCTGCATCTGATAGCTTGTCAGAAATAACATTGACTTTTAACAAGCTTGAAGTACATCACACATATTTGTTTAATGAACAACTGAGTGTCTCATGTAAAAGTTCGCATCCAGCCAGATAGTACTTTTTTTTACTAGGAGAGCATGAATGAATTTTCTCCTACGCACTAACAACACTCTGTATAATAGAGTAAGGAGGGCGAGTTGGCGACCGAGCAATCGCACACAATGTACGTATATTTAATAGGGAGGCCGAGAGACAATAACCACCAATATAATAATCCCCAACCCAAGACAATCTCAAAATTTAGACCAGTGTAATTTGTAACTCAACCAGTTGTTTGGAAACGCCGTTATAGTAAATTCTCCGGTCAGATGCGTAAAAATCCTCAGCTCAATTAACTTCTAACTAACTATTACTGTCCATAATACGAGATAATGATCAAAACAACCAATCAATCAGTGGTTTCAAACCAAAGGTCGTTCCTATTTACCGTACCACTGATAATACATTAGAAGTAGGTTGTCTAACAAGATACAACTTACTTGTGTTGGCGGTTCCAATTTCAATAAATCGTGGGTTCAATTTTGGTGTACTGGAATTTGATCATAGATGCCCTCGAAGCATTGGTCGCGTATGTTGGGACAATAGAGCTAGCAATACTCAAGCTAGACGTAGTGTACTAGATAGAGATGACAAACTAGTTGATGAGGTAATGAATCTTCACCAATCGATATGATTGGGACATGTATTACGTATGCCCAACCACCTTCTACCTCGACGCGCGTTGTTTCCTGGTGTAGGGGTAATTTGAAGGAAAGCTAGGGGTAAACAATCCAAGATGTGGTACAAGTTCATGAAGTCATTCACTGTTGGACTGAGTCGTGTTAGTAGGTGGGGAGTTTGAGGTTAGCACAATCATCGTAACCAATGGTTGGAGGTGTCGAGTGACATGGCTCCAAATTGGTTACAATGGCACAGATCCACTATTTTAAAATAGTAGTTTTTACTTCACAAAGCCAGTGTTTCTTACTGCACGTAGTTTGTACGACATCTGATTGTGTGTTACGTTAAATACACGTTATTAAAGTCATATCTTTAAAACCCTTCTCTCTACCTATCCTATGTTCTGATTTTAACTTTCCTGATCTCTCAAGAAATGTAGATTAAGTTCCTGTGTTTGATCTTCGTGAAACCAGAAATACATTTTTATTCGTACAAATTTCGAAAATGCTGTTGCACACTATGTGTTGGTCTTCATATCGTAAGAGGAGTCACACGGAATCTCCCAACATCGTTTATCTCGCTGTTGTAGTATTATTTCTCAAGTATAAGAATAGTAAATTATTCCTTTCTATTTCCGTTATAACAGCGAATTTCCTAATATTGGTTGTAGAGATATACATGTCTATAAATGTTCTTTTTCATTGAAACTTAAGCCTCATTATTTACAAGTCTTCATTTGTTTCTCTCCAGGGAGGACTTGGATTTCCTTAGTGCCGAGGGTCATGTATATTCGACTGTGGACGATGATCACTTCCGAGCTACTGAAGCATGATTAAATCGAAAATGTCTGTATCACCTTATTTTACACTAAAATCTTTTGATTGTATATAATTTTTGATCTTATTGCTTGTTGTCGCAAAAGCAAGTTACACTGTTCATAATGAAAACAATAGCATTTAAGTCTGAGTATCAGCTGTATAAATTAAAATAATCAAATTCGGTAACGTTATTTTAATTCAGTCTTGTTGATGTTTTAGTGCGTTCCTTCCCAAGTATATAGAGCAATATAAACTGACATGGAATAAGTTTAGTTAAACTTGTCTGGTTCTCTATCAATTAGATTTCAGTAAAAGGTTATTTCTTCCTAACTTAAGCGCGAAAGTTGACTATTCATGCAATAGCATGTGTAGATAGATATTTTATGAATCGTTTCAGAACCGATCGTAGCTGCTATCATGATGTGATAGTTAGACTTACCTATCGTGGTGACCCAATCGAAATACATTTGGTGAAAACACATTTCTTTCAAGTCCTACAATGCCAGGGAAGTCAGTTGAATAACGGTAAGATTAAAGCAGCAACTTGAGGTCCAAGGACAAAGTCGTACGGCTGACGATGTATGGGTGTGGTGGCAGTAAGGTGTTTCCCACATAAACCTGGCATCTCGAGAGATGTTGTTTTCTCATAACGGAAGCAAATGGCTAGAAAAGATCGACCCTAACTATATCAAATCTTACCTTATTCCACAGATTTCCGTCTCTGGCTGCAAGGATTTCTGAAGTTCGTAAATAACATCAAAAACTTCCAACGAAATTCTGTATGTGATCTGTCACAAACAGTGTCCACTTGGACCCGGCGGTGACTCCGTCACGCCATTGAGTTGGGCAGGTGTGAAGTTACGATCATCTTCATATATCTAACGACCTCCGGGATCAGCTTGTCCACAATCATGTTCCTCCCTCAGGCTTTTATTCTTCGATCCCTACTACTAACTCGACTCATATATTTATCACCACGCGCTTAACTACAAGTTGGAGCGTGTAATGTTCTAACCTTGTGTCATGTAGGAGGACTGGCTTGATTAGCTAGGACTGGAGTATGATTATTCGTTTGACCTCACTTTGCCATTATAAAGACTGGTACGATCTTATATAGGCCTAACAGACCATCCTAGACGGAATTCTAATGGAGTCACTTGACTGCTATCTAATAGTAATGACTCGAACTGACGCTGTGTTGTCTCTGTCTATGCTATCCGAGTGAAGTGAACGATAAACTGTGTAGGGAGCTCGTTAACTTATTTCAAGAAGCTAAGTGGTTTAATGCATTAAGTGACATTCGCTTTTTCTGATCTAATAAGCAAAACCAGATTGAACAGCACGGTATCGTGGCTCAGTGAACATATGGTGGGAACTTCTGCAACTATCAGATAATCGTCTTTTTAGCAGGTACCAACTCATTATCTGACATGGTGAACCTCACGACATCCAATGTTGGATTCAAGAATTCTGCCATTATCCGTCGTCGAAGACGCCCGGTAGAACACTGTTTCGCATTTTGGAGCACGTTCAGACTACGATCATGTTCTTGTGTGAGCACGTATTTGTTTCCAACCTACTAAAGTTAGAGAAGTCACAGCGAGACGCTAAGATAGGTCCTTCAACTCTTAGTGAGGCTACAGGCAATTTAAAGATAAGGAAATCCTAATGGCCCAACTAATGATTATTTTAAGGTTCGTTTACTAATTTAAACTAAGTGGTGATTTAGATAGTATCTGAGAAGCCGACGTAGCTTTGTGCGACTAGTCACGTACATGCTTGCCCATTGCAGAAGACGTAAGTTATCGTAACAATCACAGATGAGTCACTTTCAGTAATATGGTGTCTGAAATATTAAACTCAGTGATACTTTGACGTCTTACTAGAATAAACCTGAGAAAATCAGGTTGCTTTCAGAGATGGAGGTGGAAATACAAACCAAATACTTATCTATCGGGAGGTTATGGACACTTCGACATCCGACAATAAATATGATATTGACCTTGAAGCGACGTCCGATACTTTGTCATGAGCTTCTGTGGGAGTGACTGTCATTGAAAGGTATACCGAAGTACATTAACGTTGTACAGGCTCTCTATTCGGACACTGCTGGTCTAGTCAGAGCTTATGGCGAACTGTCATTGGGATTGGTTACTTCAAGTGGTGCTTGGTAGGGTTGTCCGCTTTCTCCATTTTCATTTGACTTTGTCATAGACATGTTTTTAAAGACAACACTTTCATCGTCTGACTTCTCAGGGTTTGATATACCAGGAGATTCACTTGTTGACCTAGAATACTCAGATGACATAGTGCTGTTCGGTGAATACGTTGATAAATTGTAGTCTTCTATCCACCTTAAGCAACAATGTAAGCATATTTGATTCTCCCCCTCCAAATGCAAAACGTTGCTTCAGGACCGGTCTGCGTCTACTTTCGAATTAATGATAGGGAGTGCATCAGTTGAACATATCAACCGCCTCACTGACTTTAGGAGTTTCATCAGTCTTGGTGGTCTGGAGTCTAATGAAATCTCTTTACGGATTCGAAAAGCTCGATCGGCTCTTTTGAACTTTCGTTATATAGGCGAGATACCCGTCTGCCAACTAAAGTGCGAAAATACTACAGGTCAGTTCGCTCCGTTCTACTTGGTGGTTATGAAACATAGCCTTTAAGAACAGCGGATATTTGTAGGTTACTGGTATCGAACTATATATGTCTTCGAAGCATTACTCATGTATTGTGAAGCCAGTGAGTATGCAATCCATTGGTTACGAATGGGGTACTAGATACAAGTCGGAAGTTTATTGATGAGGTAGTAAATCCTCATCTGGTGAGCTGATTAGGACGTGCTACCTATTCCCATCCATTGTCTACCTCGAAGAGCGATATTGTCTGGTGTAAGGGGTGAGGTGGAAGAAAGCTAGGAATGTCCGCACCAAGGTATGGGACTTGTCAATGAAGTCACTGGCGCTTGGACTGAGCCGTGGTAGTAGGTATAGACAACCTGGTCGAGTCCGCGTATTGTTACCATTAATTAGATCCTTTAAATGACGTGGCTGAATATCATCATAGTGGTTCAAGTGCATCCAATTTTTATCTTCCTTTAGATCCTAAATTTTTTCTGATTCTTCACCAGCTTATATTTTATTTGTGCTATGTTTTATGGTGTAGGAGTAGGTTGGAAGAAAGCTAGGGGCGGCCAGACCAAAACATGGCACAAATCCATGAAATCACTGACAAGTGGACTGAGTCATGTTGGTAGGTGTAGACTACCTGGTTGGGGACCGCGAGACGATAGCAACCGATGGTTAGAGACCTTGAATGACATGGCTCAAAATCGTTTGCAATGGCGCAGGTGCATCCACTCTTTGTGTTCTCTCAAACTCTAATCTTCTGAATTCTTCATGTCCTTTATTTTCTTTCCCAATTTATTCCACTGGACTATACTCCTTTAATAACATCATCAAACCTTAATGTCCCCTATCTCTACTTATACTTTCAGTACCTCTACCACTATGGGATTTGAATCGATAACTGAATCTCTGTGCTAATGTGGTATGGCAACTCGAACTGATGTACGTACGTACGAAGTTCCACGTTGTTACTGACTTATATTTTATTTCGAATCGTGTCTTTGGGATCTCCATTAACAATGTCATCTTGCTATGCTAAATGGGGGTAGGATCTTGAAACGATATACGTACGTACCAGGTTCTAGATTGCAACTGACTGGACCAGTTATTTAAAGGTATAAAAAGATATTTTGATGAGATAATTCGATTTTATAGTGCAGAAATCCTTCAATTAGTTATGTACTAACTACTTCATTATGAATGGTAGGTTATAAAGCCCTACTGTTTGCACTGAAAGATATTCAATTACACGTGACTTGAAGTGCTTTTATGAGGCTCTACCTTTGACATATATATTGGAGAAAAACAAGGGTCTGAGCGGAGAAGCATGAGTTCTACGTTACTGTAGACTGTTCTTTCACAAAGGGTATATGTTTGCAATATTTAGTGTATTAAAATTATTCAAAGCTTCGTTATACTTTATTCATGTGCGATCATAGCAACTTCCAACTAGTATCTCTCATATAATTATGACTTTTAAATCTAACAGGTTGTAAGCAGTTGGCGAGAACCAAATGAATCCATGATATTCTGCTAAAATTCTGGCTTTTTTATAGTCTTGAAGAGAACAAGTACCATATGTACGAAATTTGTCATATAGGCTGTAATACGGCAACGAAGCTAAGAAAACTAATTACAACTGACAAATAATTAGGCTGTGCATTTTTTGCTGGGATATCACTTTTAATATCAATTAGGCTATAGAACTCATTCTCTAAAGAGATCTTTTTCTCTTATAACACTTGGTAAAAATGTCAATGTTCTTTTCACATACTACAAAACATCTTATTTTTCTTGACTTTCACTGCAAGTTATTCACGTTTAATCAATCCACCTACACAGAGGAAGAATATCAATGCTGCGTAAGAAGCTTTGCTCGTTATATCAGTCTGTTACTAGACAACAAAAATCTAATAAATCTGATTACCTATGCTAGATCGATTTGGAGCAACTTATAAATGAGATAAATCATTAAGATAATCGACATATCTTAACATATATGAATTAAAATTTCATACTGAAAATTAGGGTTTGAAAACATGATAATTATTACGGAAGTGGGTATTCGGTGTTCTAGAACAATTAACAAAATGAAAACCTCTAGCCAACACAGAAAGTTGCGTTCATTTTTCTCAAGACATAATTGGAAAAGAGAAACAGCAGAGTACTGTTTGTTTAGTTATTGTGTGAAAATACAGAGAAATTAGTGGAGAGGTCAATAATAAATACTATACAGTAAAACGACGTTTTCCTTTATAGAACACGTAAACTAAAAGTTCACTTTTGAACAAGTTACTTATCCAACACGTTCGTTAATTGTTATAATAGACAATCCAAGCTTGTACTTTCCCATGAAATAACGGTCCAGAAACATTGACGGAAGTTATAGCTTCACTACATCTGTTTGACTCCATTTATTGGACAATAATAATGCTGTAGAAGTTGATTCACATACATTTGGGTCAAGATTTTTGCCGTCATCTTCTTGACTATCAAATTTAGCGAGTAGGCGATAAAACTCTGTGGCTGTAGGAGGTTCATAAATAGGGAAGTTTGTTGAATGATTCAAATCATTAACAGATGTAATATGTGTTTTTGAGCTACACGGAGCAGTGTCAGATCGATCAGGAGAAAAAGAGTCGCTTTGAGGAGGGCAAGATATAGTGTTATGGTTTGGAGTGGGTGGAAGTGAATTTTCTTCATTGGCAAGACGATCATTTAAAACATCAACTTCCGTAGTTTCCTCAGTTTGCAAATCTGGGTGCTGACTATGATGAGTAGAATTATTTTTTGTTTCAGGAGCAGTTTTATGAGATTCATCAGCATCATCGCCGTCCGAAATAATGACCGGGGACGATGGGTTGTTTAAATTGACTAGTTTCTCAGGACTCTGATGATATTTACGAATGAATATCTTATTATGACGTCTTGAGTGACAATAACAGCAGCACGAATGCTTGTGACGACACTTAC